GAGAAAAATAAAATAAATGGAAAGAGACATTAAATTACGATGACTTACTCAGTCTAAAATACCTAAACATCTAGACATTGCTCTTCACAATATTTATTTTTATTGTTGCTATGTTAGGTAGACATAATTTTAGACATTTTACATTGAAAATGAACTTTTGTAGACATTTATTTTAACTTATGTGACAACTTTTTAGTAGAATTCATATTAGCATTAGAACGTTCTTTTTTTACTTTAAATTGAGAAATCACTTCATTCAAAGACAAAGAAAATCTTGATTCTTAAACTAACCCTAAAGTTTAATAAATATTTAGTGTGAAGTGTGGTAGCGAGGCCATGGAGATCCTTCTTCTACTTTACCACAATATATCAAATGGCATGTGGAGCGAGACCATCAAAATGTAAGAATCTGTATATTTTGTTGAGATTGTCATTACGATTTATGGTTGTTTAAGAATTTTTGTAATTTGTTGACAATAATGGAGGCAAAATCAATTACACTGATTATTTTAATCAGAGCTATGAATTTGTAAGTTTTCTCTTGTTAATATTTGTGTGGTGTTACTCGAAGCCCTCCTTTGATTACTATGTTAGAGATAAAGCCACTTATGTTGATTATTTTACTAACAAAATCTTAAATAATAATTTTCAATTTGTTTCCGAGGGTTGTATTCAATTAGTTCTTTAAAGACTTTTAAGGATTTAAGAAACTTAGAGATATTCAATGTAGATTTTTTAAAACTTTCTAAAAGTATTGATGTATTCAATACAAACTTTTATAGATTTTTTTAAAAATCTTAAAAAATAAGTTGAAATTAGGAGAAGCAAAAGACCAAGTACTTAGCAGTGGATCATCCTAGTACTTTCAGTGAAGCTATGATGTCTTCATCAAATTTTATCTTTTGGAAGGAAATTACAAATATTGAATATAATTCTAATAATACTTGGGAGTTAATTGACTTACCTCAAGGATGTAAGACCATTGGATGTAAATGGCATGAAAATTTTGGTAAGGTTTGACATCTAATTGTTGTGATAAAAGAAACTTATAAATACATATTTTGCAAATTTAAAAATAATTGTGGTATGATTATTTGCTTATATGTTTATGATATTTTGATTATGAGAACTAGTTTAGATGTGATTAATAAACTAACAATTTCTAAAAAAAACTTTGAAATGAAAGATTTGGGTCTTACTGTTGTTATTTTAAGAATTAAAAAAATAAAACATTTCGAAGAATTTACTTTATTCCAATCTCATTATATAAAGTGCTTGAAAAGTTTAATCAATATAATTATGTTACTGCTAAAACACTTTATAATGCAAAACTTCAATTGAGAAAACATTCCGATCCTAGTGTTTTCTGCTTTAGAATATGCTAGAGTGATCGATAGCCTCATGTATCTCATGAATTGTACAAGACCTAATATAATATACAGTTGGTAGACCTAGTGCATATACTAGTAATCCTAATAGTGACCATTGTGATGTACTTATTCGAGTCTTGAGGTATTTGAAATACACCTTAAATTGGGCAATACATTATACCAAATTCCCTGCTGCGCTTGAGGGATAGTATGATACTAATTGGATTGTAGGTATTAATGAAAATAAATCTACAAGTGGATACGTGTTTATTGTAGTAGGCATTACCGTATCTTAGAAATCAACTAAGCAAACTTGCATTGTAAGATCTACTATAAAGTCTGACTTTATAGCTTTAGATAAGGCATGTGCGGAGAATGAATAGTTAAAGAATTTCATTTGGGTGTTCCTTTGTGATCTAAACTACTACCAGCTATTTCGTTCACTGTGACAACCAACTAGCTATTTAAAGAGCTCAAAATTTATCCTACAATAGAAAGTCTAGACATATTTGTGGGAGGTACAATATTGTGCATAGCTTAAGGATGTGGTTATAGTAATTGACTATATGAAGTCAGGTGATAATATTGTTGACCAATCAACCAAAAGATTAGCTAAAGCACTAGTTCAAAAAACATTGATGGAGTACGGACAAAAGTCTATTAAAAATTAGATCGCCTACAACTAAAATCCAACCTTGAGATTGAAGATCTCACTATCAAGGTTCAATAGTGCAACAAAATTATTAGAGTCGGGATACTACATTGAATTTATTCCAAACACATGCCTATGATATAGTAATACCAACTGTCTTTATCAGCGGATGAGCTAAGGCTCTTAATACTTTCTATCATTCTTACTCATTAGGATGTTTAGATACAACATACTCTTGATAGAAGAACCTATTTGAAAGTGGAAGTGGGGTCGCTTCCTATTAGAAATGAGGCTAACTCTCTAGAGTACTCAAAGAAATTGGAAAAGTTCATTGCCAAAATAAAACAATCATGAGAACTCAGTGGTTAATTTTAGAAGTCTTGTGTCTGTTCTTTTATCTCATTTTGCAACCATAATTGTAGAGTTCAAGACATAGCTCACTCTACAATTGACAAATTCAATAGAGAATAAATTTAAGTTTACAAAATTGGTTGATAGCAATGGTTGATAATCATGTGTTGTCAAAATCTTATGATGTGATGTAGAAAATAATTTTTTTTTTAAAAACGGATGTATATGATGATGTCAAATAAGTTGTTATCAACCAATGTTGTTAACCAATATTGTACATGTAATATGATTCTTCAATAGAATATATAAGGGTAATTGGCACATAACGTCCCTACCTTTCACTATTATTGTGGAAAACGTTCATACTTTTTATTTATTTATTTATTTATTATTTTTTTGCATTTTACACTTAATTACACTTTTCATTGTGCAAAATATAATTTTCATCCAATTTTTCTGTTAAGTAAAAGATATTCTTGTCATCTTTTTTCTTTCTTCCCCATTTGAACCTATTTCCTCCTTTATTTCTTCCTTTGAAATATCAAATTCAGCCAAATCGAGATCGGCCGTGGTCATGTATGCCCGAGCCCTTTTGTAAAGTGCATTCATGTTTGTACTTTCGAGTTCCAACACCTTCATACAATTTCCTTATTGAACAAATGAAATCCACGATTTGAAAAGGCAATTAAAAGAAATCGAAGATTCAGTTGAGCAACCCTTTGTAAACATATTCTCTATTTGTTTATAATCTTTAAGTTTCAATTTTGCAAGCCACATTGTTCATGTTACAAGTAATCTTCAATGCTTCGGACTGTTTCTTTTCCTCCTCACTGAAAGAGGTGTCATACTCAATGTACTTGGCAGCCTGAGTTCAAAATACTCCATGTGAGGCACGTGACTAAAGATACATAGAAAATGCTATTTTGCTATCAAATCAAAATGGAGTTAGAATCCCTTGGGAATTATTACCTTTTTATGTCTTTTTGAGACTCGCACATATTTCCTGCCTTAAACAACACATTGCCTTCTTCCTTTTTCTTATCTATAGCCTCAATCTTTTCTTGGGTGTTTCTATCTCCCAAGAAACTAAAGGTTAGTTTTTAGAGGAAAAAAATAGAGAAAATAGATTCAAATGGGGAAGAGAGAGGAAAAATAACGAGAATGCCATTCACTTAATTGAGAAATTGGATGAAAATGGATGGAGATGACATTTTGCACAATCAAATGTGTAATTAAAGGATAAAATGTCAGAAAAAATGGAAGGTATGGATATTATCCACAATAATAGTGAAAGGTAGAAACGTTATATATTGATTACCTAATATATAAAGCCAATATTCAAGTTGAAAAATACCTAAGCTTGCATGATTTCTTCAATACTTCAGAATAATATGTATATTTCTTTCTTTCTTTCATATGATTTTTAATATATCAAACATATTATTTGAAATAAATAATTAAATTAGATAAGTTGACTAAATGGTAAAATGCGTGAAATTTATGTAGGAAGTTTGACTATTCGAATCATATTCCATGCAAATATTGAAAAGTCTATAATTTGGTTTTGAACTTTCAGAGTTCTTTGAATAAAATAAATCTTATATTTTTAGTTAATTATTTTTGAATTTATTTTTTTCTCAAACTAGTTGTAAAATATAGCAGTTGGAAAGTTACTAAATAGTTTATCGAATTCATAAAAACCAACTCATTGTGATAGAAGATATATTTTTTTTTGCAACTACATAAATCCATTATTTTTCATGAAAAAACTATGCTGAAATTATTTTCATCTTATATACATTTTTTGCAAAATCGATTGAAGCATTATCTTACTGCTATTTTGTTTTGGAGAAAAAAATTAATGTGGTGTTCTCTTTGTGTTTCAGTTTTGTGTTTTGAGTTTTGAATTCGTTTTGTATTTTGTGTTTTGAGTGTCTGTTTTGAAATTTCTGAAAATGCGTTCTGTTTGCCATTCTGAAAAACTGTTTCTGAAAACATGAAAATGGAAAACGCGTTTACTTTGAAATTTTGAGAATTTTTTAAAATAATATTTTATTCAAAAAATCTGATTATTCAATAAATTTTAATGGTTTAATGTTAATATAGTATTAAATAATATATAAATTTTGAAATTAGTGAAACTTCAAATTTTTTTCAGATATTAAAAATACAACCTAAATTACATTTGACAAAACAGTTCAATCGATACGTTTGAAAGTTTACATGTCATGACAAAATAATCTTACACTGAACAAAATATAAAATAAACAGTTCAATCGATACATTTTGAATTTTGAGGTTGATTTTTTTCATGTGTCAAACTTTATATGTGTATAATAATTCTACTCTTATCGTAACACAAGTTTTGTTAGCGGGAGAACGAAGTACAATGTGAAACGATTGCATGTATTGGTCTAAAAAGGACTATTTAACATCGTGTTAAGAGCACCTTTTTCAATTCACAAGTAAACTACTTTTTTTAAAAAAAAATGATGCCAAACTATCATCCTGGATCTTGTGTGATAAACAAATCTATATATTGAAATAAACATTAAATTTGAGCTCAAAATGATAATCTCACGGAAAATGGATTTGAACAAATCCAAAGCAATATTTAAACAATTTGATCAACATAATATCCTTTCAAATCTCCTGAAAACAATGATAGTGCTTCCCTTCATTAAGAAAATTAGAGCACTCTTATCCTTCCTGTTCTTTATCTTTGCTTTGACATCCAAAATTGCCCTGAGCTTCTGATATGATTTGCATCGGGAACTTGGCCACTTTTCACCATCCACTTGTGATAAAAGAACGCCCTCTTGAAATCGCGGACACGAATATATGCATATATCATAGTGGAATACATTTGCAGCCATGTCACTCATTTTCTTCTGTCTCCCATAGGCACTTATTAGACATGTATAGGATCTAACATTTGGCTCCAGCCCAGTAGCTTCCATCTCTAGAAGCAGTTTCTCAACAATTTCAGGTTGCATTCTTCTACTATAGGCATCCCACCTCACCTTTCCTAAACAAGTTCTTGTTTTCGAAGTGAGCAATGGCACCTTTTCCTTTCTTGTTCACTTCCAACTCTTTCAAATGCTCAAAGCTGCATAATTTTGATATTTCTTCAATCATTCCACATTTTCCTATAACTTAATCAAGGACATAATTAACTCAAAGAGTTATAAATCAATCAAATCATTCAATTAAAATGCCTACAAGTGGAAGAAAACTCTAGTTTACCAAAATATATGCTAAAAGGTATTCAATTTATGATTAAATCCATAATTCCGAAACAACAGGAACATACAAAACTCAAACACTACCAAAATCATATGCTAAAGGATCAAGTACACTCAATTTTAGATTGAATCCATAATTCCTAATAGACTAGGAAATGTAGATCTGACACCGAAATGTAGAACAGGGATAAACTAGAGTGTGAATGGAAACCGAAAATGAATCAATTGAATAAAAAAAACCTGAAATAATTCAACAATGAGCAGTAAATAAGAATCAAAACAAAAAATCTGAATACACACCTTTGTCATCGCGATCGTCGTCTTTCTTGACGAGAGGTTGAGCCATTTTACAGAGATCTGTGAGGTAAGGTGTAATAAACTAAGAAGAATTTGCAGATTCCTGCTGTGGATTTCGGTTTGAAAAATTCGCAATGACCTCTTATATATCTATAGCAAGTAGACTCGACTGCAGATCAGAGAGGTCCCAATCCAATGTATTCATTATGGTAAAACACATTGCTTTCAACCAGGTTGTGCCTGATTTCGGAATTGTGGCAACAATTATATCACTGTCTTTTGCTTTATAGTGATATTGAATAGAAATTATGGTCTGAATCAAAACACAATCCATTCTTGATGACCCAACAGTGCAGTTGCTGCTCTAGAAACAACCACCCCAATTCAGAACAAGCTGACAAAACACTAATGAATGTAAACCGGTATGGTGTAAACCCAGTCAATACCATATCCATAAACAACTCAATTGCATCCCCCGGTACCCCAATTGGGAACACTTCATAATCAATGTCCACAAAACAAAATTTTTCTCTTGCATTTCATCAAACACTTTTTTTGCTAACCCCGAATCACAAAACCCCTTTGCAAATAAATCAACCAAATTCAATTCAATCACAGACTCATAGTAAAATATTAAACAACAGGGATGACGGAACAAAATACTTACAGATAATCACGAATTCATGCTTCAATGCCTCACGGTTTTCTCGTGCCGCTTGTATTTTGCTGGAGGACGAACTGCGGAGGTTGAGTCGCGATTTTCTGTCTCATAGTCGGAGTCGTCGGACCTTCCAATTTCCACTGCGACGGGCGCACAGGCGGCACAGCTACAGCAGCCTGATCTGGCCCTGGGCGTTGGGAATTTGGAAGTCGACCGGCGTTGGAAATGTCTCTTGCAGAGGCTGGGAGATGTGTGTTTAGGGGGAGAAATGAAAATGAAGAAGGTTGGGGAACTGGAAGTCTGGAACAGTGAGAGAGAGGTTGAAAATGGGGCGTTTCCCGTGTTTTGTAAAAACACCGGGTTTTGGACTGAAAAATAGAAAACGGAGTTTTCATCGTTTTCCATTTTGTGTTGAAATTTTTTTTCTGTTTTCAAAAATTCGTTTTGGGAAATGGGAAAGAGAACGAGTTTTCAACGTTTTGAAAAATCGAAAACAGAAAACGGCCCGAAAACACCAAAGAGAACAGGGTCTAAGTGATTGCAACTTTAAGGGAANCTGTCTTTTGCTTTATAGTGATATTGAATAGAAATTATGGTCTGAATCAAAACACAATCCATTCTTGATGACCCAACAGTGCAGTTGCTGCTCTAGAAACAACCACCCCAATTCAGAACAAGCTGACAAAACACTAATGAATGTAAACCGGTATGGTGTATACCCAGTCAATACCATATCCATAAACAACTCAATTGCATCCCCTAGTACCCCAATTGGGAACACTTCATAATCAATGTCCACAAAACAAAATTTTTCTCTTGCATTTCATCAAACACTTTTTTTGCTAACCCCGAATCACAAAACCCCTTTGCAAATAAATCAACCAAATTCAATTCAATCACATACTCATAGTAAAATATTAAACAACAGGGATGAGGGAACAGGTTGTATGTCGTCAGTCGTGACTGTGTCAGTGTAAAACAAAATACAGTAAATACTTACAGATAATCACGAATTCATGCTTCAATGCCTCACGATTTTCTCGTGCCGCTTGTATTTTGCTGGAGGACGAACTGCGGAGGTTGAGTCACGATTTTCTCTCTCACAGTCGGAGTCGTCGGACCTTCCAATTTCCACTGCGATGGGCGCACAGGCAGCACAGCTACAGCAGCCTGATCCGGCCCTGGGCGTTGGAAATTTGGAAGTCGACCGGAGTTGGAAATGTCTCTTGCAGAGGCTGGGAGATGTGGGTTTAGGGGCAGAAATGAAAATGAACGAGGTTGGGGAACTGGAACAGTGAGAGAGAGGTTGAAAATGGGGCGTTTTCCGTGTTTTGTAAAAATGCGGTGTTTTGGATTGAAAAATACAAAACGGAGTTTTTATTGTTTTCCATTTTGTGTTCAAATTTTTTTTTCTGTTTTCAAAAATTCGTTTTGGGAAATGGGAAAGAGAACGAGTTTCAACGTTTTGAAAAATCGAAAACAGAAAACGGCCCGAAAACATCGAAGAGAACAGGGCCTAAGCGTTCTGAAAATCTTTCGTAATTGTTGCACAAGAAATTCGGTCGAAATATCCTGTGAGTAATTGTCCAAAGAGACCGCACTAGTTAACCAGGGAATAATTTCACTTTAAGATATCGTATTGTCATGAGACTCAATCACTCGATAATTTTTTTGTTTTTTTGTTCTGCAGTAATACCTGCAAATAATTTTGTCCAACATGAAGTAGTTTTATTATATAATGATTAATGAGTTGTGAAAAAGAAAATGACAAATGAACCACTTTCATTATATGCATCAATGACTGTTTACGCACTGTTTATCGTATTGATAAGTTTTTAAAATTTAATCCTTTCTTTTCAATACGTTTGTTTTTGCATTGGATCACAAAAAGGTACTAACATTTTTCATGTCCATAGTTGTTAAAATCTCACATGATAATATATAAGAATTTTTGTTAATACTTTATGATGTTGACTTTTAAGATGAGACTTTAAGTCTCAGTATGGTATCAAAGTATAAAATACTCAAACAAGCGATTCAACATTTCTAAATGCACAAATAAATATTCAAAATTCCAAAATTCGTGTACTCCAACAAGTTACAGCTTCCAGGACATATTTAGGTTTAAATGGAACTCCAAGACCTATAGAATATACGTAATGTGCAATCACACCGAGTATAGAGTCAAATGCAACACACTATCCATAGTATAAAAATGTGAATAATAAATGAGATATATTACTTTCACAGAGAAAATTTCACCATATACCTAATCATGAGATATAAAAAATGACTTCGGCAAAATGTGTACATTATTTACTTGGTTAATCATATGTGAGCAGTGGCAAGCTTAGCATCTAATCTCAGCCCAGGCGGACGTTGACAAGTCAACATCGACAATCAGCGATCGTAAGCGCGAAGTCGTTTATTAATATTTAATTACGTAATATTAAAAATTATTCGATATATATGTACAATGCACTAAAATAGAACCAAAAAACCGTTTTACTCTTTTTAAGTTCCAGCACACAAGAAATACTCATGTTTACATAGTCTTGTTGGGATCTTAAATTATGTTTACATAGAGTTTCCACTTTTGCTTTCAAGTTATTTGCCTTGTCTGTTACTAAGGAATGTTACAAAATGTGTGCATTGGCCTCCTTGCACTGGTTGGCATTTAGCCAATGTTTGACAATCATTTTTTAAAACTTTTTTTTTT